TTCATCCATTTATCTAGCCATCCATATCTGCACATACACATATATCTCCAGGATTCTTTTTGTTTTTAGTTGACTTCATGCTTTAGAGAAGTTGTATGTCCATACAAAATTGAAGGAAGGTCATAGTCCGTATATCCCTGCTCCCACATGTGCATTCCCCTTCCCAATATCAACATCTTCATTAGACTGTGTGTTTGTTACAGCTGATAGCCTCCAGGTACAACATTATCACCTAGCACCTACAGTTCACAATAGAGCTCACTCTTGGGTTTGGCAAATACATGATGGTATGCAGCCATCATTGTAACATTATACCTCATGGTTTCATGGCATAGCATATTCTCTGCTTTCTTCCCATTCATCCCACAAGACAACTGGAAACCACTGATGTTTTGCTTCCTTCTTCATGCCTTTCCCACTCATTTTCATCTTGCTTCTGGCCAGTCTCTATGGCCCCTTTTCCTTCCTTCTGTCCACCCAAATTGTCATTGTACCTCCCTGGTAAAAAACTTTAATTCTAATCATTGCATTTTTCAACTTCAAAATTTCTATTTGGTTCTTTGTAATAATTTCTATTTAACTGATATTTTGTATTTGATGAGATATAAGTAATCATACTTTGATTTAGTTCTTTAGATATGATTTCCTGTAGTTCTTTGAAAGTCTTTAAACTAGCAGATTTAAAACCTTTTACTAGTACATCTAACATTCGGGAATCTTTAATGATAAAAGTGTATGTGTGTGTGTGTGTGTGTGTGTGTGAGAGAGAGAGAGAGAGAGAGAGAGAGAGTATACACGCATGTAGAGGTCAGAGGACAATCTTGGGTTCTATTTCTCAGAGTCATCCTTCTAACTAAGCCTGGAACTCCCTTATTCATCCAGGCTGGCTGACTAAAATCCAGTCTTTTTCCTTATCCCCCGGTCACTATGTTTTTGTACTTACATAGCCAGAATTATTTTTGAGCCACCTCCCAGCCTCTTCAACAGTCATTTCTATTTCAATTTTTTTCCTATGTAGGTGGCACATTTTTCTGTTTCTTTTCAGGTTATGTAACATTTTGGGAACCAGATATTTTATAATACAGTATCTTCATTAATTCTCTGAGAATATTACATATGCATACAATGGTATTTTGAAGATATTTAACCCCAGTCCTCCCAGATCTACCCCTACCCCATCCCAACTTTCTTTCCTCTTTTTTTTTATGACCTATAATTTGTGTGCAAGTTGTGCTGCTCATAAACTCATGAATGTGAGGCCATCCATTAGAGCATAGTCAACCTTCCAGGAGGTCACAATCTTAAAGAAAATAGATTTTCCCTCTACCAGAAGCCATCAACTTGTCAGTAGCTCCTTAGATAGGAGTAGAGGTTCCAGAGTCCATCCTCACTCCATGCTGGAACGTTGACTGGCTTGACCTTGGGCAGGTCTTATGCAGGCAAGCAACCACAGCTGTGGTGAGTTCAGAGTTCAGAGGTCCTGTCATGTATAAGAAAATACTGTTTTGCTCCAGTCTTTCATAATCTCTGCCTCTTAAAATCTTTCTGCCTCTTCTTATATGATGGTCCCTGAGCCTTGAGAAGAAAAGGTGTGATATAGATGTCCCAATGTGCCTAAGAACTCCACAGACACATAATCTCTGCATTTGGACAGGTTGTGAGTTTCTATGTCAACTACAGTCCACTGCCCAAAGAAACTTGTCAGATTGAGGTTAGAGAGCTGCACTAATCTTGTTACAGAACTATCAGTTTAGAGGGCAGATTATTACCATGTCCATTTGGCACAGTAATAGTACTAGGTTAAGCCATGGGGCCAAAGAGCTTCTCAACCGTGGGT